AATTTATGGCCATAAAGAAACCAGGACTAGAAATTTCACCACATTTATGGAGTCTAGGCTTCGGGATTTTTCAGCAGGAATTCAGAATTATGAATTTTGGACTACTATTGCCAACGGGGTTTATGATTCGCAGGAAAGCCAAATCCAGTCGCCTATTCATCATTTTCTCCATCGTCTCATTACTTCCAATGTCAATCACAAACGACATGGAGACAAGGTCCCTAGCTTGAACCTCTTTTATTTATGGAGTATTATTACACCCAGAGTATTTTTCAACATCTCGTATGCTATTACCTGATTCTTAGCCGAAAAATTCGTGAAACCGCAAGCGAGAAGTCCCATATGTGGGGGACATTTTGTGACATGACTTGCAAAATCTTATGGAATTTTGGACTTGACTAAGCTACAAACTTTTACACTTATTCCGAGTCAACGCCTCACGGTGGGAAAGTTAAAACCAATGAGAGTCGATGTAGGAGTGGATTCAAAATACCAGCCGATGATCCGAAGGTGCCGACAGGAGGAGTTGATGAACCAAGGTCGAACCCACAACCACGTCGAAACAAGAGGAGACCAGCCGAGGCATCAACTCATGAGTATGTTAAAGATGTACCCATAGGGGTGGGCCCCCTATGGATCCTTTTTCGATACAATTGGGACAATACATGGACAATATGTGTGGGGGCATATCTTATACGACTAGAACACATGGAGCAGGGAAGAGCGGAGTGTTAGAAATATGGTTTAGTGGCACTTGGAAATCTGAGAATCGTGATAATCACTTTCAAATCGAAGTATTTCGGTGGTACTCCCAAATCCTCAATTGGATAAGACTCAGATAAAATCAGAGAGAAAGAAAGAGAATGAGATGGTGTAATTTCGTGAGTACCAGAAAACTGACTAAGATTTGGTTATAAACCTTCCTTATCTGAAAAAACTGTCAAAACTGTCATATAACAGTTTTTTCTCAACAGCTCGATCCCAGCCAGGGGCTGCCGCCCCTTGGACCCCGCTCCCAGGGGCGCTGCCCCCGGATCCCCGTTCGTTCAGGGGCTTCGCCCCTAAATGACAGTATACTTTGATACTTGATCAAACTTAAACAAGTTTGTACTCCACACTTTCCTTACTTGTTTAATATTTATCAAGGTCATTTTTAGTCAACAAAGTAATCCCATTACACTTAAATAACCTTGATGATAACAAATCACCAACACGGAACACATCAGCCAGACGATGAGAAGGAGTGACTCTATCCTTTTATTTTTAGTTTTATGTTTTATTTGTTTGGTTTGCGTAAGACTATTTTTCTATTTTTATTTTGTTTCGGTGGTGTGTTTTTTAGTTTTTGGATTGTAAACTTGAACAATTTTCCTTTTTATTACTCGTTCCTGTTTTGATTTTGATCTCGCAGAATTTATAATAGGAGGTAGCACTAAGTTCAATGAACAAACCATGTGAGTCAAACAATTATATTCACAAGACACGATTAAAAAAAAAAGGAGTAAATTACAGAAATGACTCCTATGGTTTGAATAAATTCGTAGGTTTGGTCCAACCTTTAAAATTTTGATAGATGACGTCCTTATGGTTTGCAAACCTTGCAACAATGGTCTTTATGTCTAACTCCGTTAGAATATTACCGTTAAATACATATAGAATGACCTTTTTACCCTTTTTTTTGTATTCTTTGTCTTTTTGTTATTTATATTTAATACTCTTAGCATTTATTAAAAGTCTCAACACGTTATCTCAAACCCATCTCCCCCCCCCCCCCCGGTTATCTTCTCGACAACTCGTCTTCTCTGGTAACTCCTTCCGGCCATCTTCTCCAACAACCCCCGTCGGCCATCTTCTCCAACTAAGTCTACTAGTTAAATAAAATAACATGTAACGTAATTTTCTTCTATTATAGGGGTTATAGAGCACCACCCCACCACCATATTGTCCTATGTTCATATTTTCTTGCAACATCTCCGACGACCATCATCGGAAGAACATAATCTAGCATGAAGAAAATTAGAACACAACGTTTTCTTTCCTTTTGTATTTATCGACTGGTATTATAAAAGACAAAAAGAAATCTAGCATGAAGCCGGGGATAATTCAGGGATGCAACACAATGAAATAACAAATCGTTACTAGACACCTGAACCACCCACTAGGTTGTTGAATATAGTACGTTGGCAGAGCTAGAGACACCAAGAGTAAGCCATATTTTTGACAATTTATAACACAATAATACAGGAAAAATATACAACATGAATAACCTAACCTTGTATAATCCACATCTAGGACACCTTGCAAGTTGCAACATCAAGTTGAGGAGTTTGAGAACTTCGAGAGCATGGGCATTTATTTGTCTAGAACAAACAAAACAACACTAAAGATTATTGACCTTCATAGAACTTTGAATTATAGAGCACCCACTGTAGTTGAGCTCTGATCCCTTGATCTCACTTCTATATATGTATAAATTATGAAGGCTAGGAGCAATAATCAACAAATTCATCTCACAGTAAGAGATTAGGGTTGTGAGTTTGATTAATAATGGATTACCTTAATACAAATAATTGCAGTACCTTCAATTTCATGTTAGTGCAATGTCAGTGGAGTGGGATGAACCGGTGGTGGTACCTTCAGTTTCATGTTAGTGCAATGTCAGCGGAATGGGATGAACCGGTAGTGGTGACCTGAGCTGGAGTGGGATGAGCAATTGGTCCATCGCCTAACAACTCTTTGCTTTCACCGAATAGGGTTCACTGAATTGTAAGTTGGAGTGAGATCAGGATGGTGATGTTGTTTCTTGACCCAACGATGGGATGACAGAGGCGACGACTATAGAGGATGGAAGATGAGAAGGAAGGTGGGTATGTAGAAGGCTGTATGGGAGAACCTCCTCGCCGGAAGAGAGCGACGACGATGAGACGAGGGAGGTTGTCGGAAGGGGGAGGAACCTGGTATCGGTTCTAGGGCATTTAAATGAATGAATTGTATAAAAGATATGTGAAATTACAAATTTGGTCCCTGAATCTTATTAGTTTTTTATTTAAATTTTAAAGGTAAAACAGTCAATCTGTAATACTTAACGTTTGATGTTTAACAACATCCACCAAAAGAGACCAGCAGTGTAATTATTCAAAACCACAAGGACCTAACATATAGACATTTCAAATGTTGGATAAACCTGCAAATTTGACCAAACCACGGGGACCATTTCTGTAATTTACTCAAAAAAGATTTATGTGGAAAACATAGAGTAAATAATAGTTTTGGTCCCTATGGTTTAGGTAGATTCACACTTTTGGTCCAACATTTGGATAATGGACAAGATGCATCCCTATGGTTTCCCAATCTTGCAGTTTTGGTCCTTGGTCTATATAAATAGACTATATTGCCCTTTCTAATTTCTTTTACCCTTTTTTAAAATATAAAATATATTTTGGGCCCACCTCCCCTAGCCCTCCACCCCAACCTCACTGTCTCTCTCCCATTCTTCTTACTTTTTCATTCTTCTTTCACCCTGTTCAAGAGTGCCGCTCTACCCCATATTTCTTCTTCCTATTACTTTTTTCCTTCTTCTTCCTAATCAACATAGAATCATAGTATCGATAGATGTTTGAGATTGGTGGTTGTGGAGTATATGAGGGGTTCGTTATTGTAGGAAGCAACGGAGTCACCAAGATGGGGGAAATGACGATGAAGAATAGGATGATGACGATGGAGAAGACGACTGATACAATGTCGAGGTTATGATAGTTTTGGATTTTAGACAATGTAATTTTGAGTCGATGAGCCATTTGTCATAATTGGTATGTTACTAGGGTTAGAAAAAGAAATTGGCAATGGAGATGAGATATATAAATGTCTCTGGAGGGAGAGAGGTTGAGACATTGAAGGGGAGACGAAGGATATACGAGATCTGAAGGTGCTGAATCAAACGGAACAAGAGGGTATGTGAGATTTGTAGGTGACGAACCAAACCAAAGGGATGGTTATGGGTGGTTTCAAAAGGAGATAGGGAAAGGAGTTGATGGGAAGGGAGGTACCTAATGGAAAGAAATCATGTGTTCCTTGTCTTCTGGTGTTCTTGGAGAAAATCACCAACCATGATTGTGGTGGTGTTGATTAATGATGGTGGGAGATGAAGTAGTGGCGATGACTAAAGCTTTGGGAATGTTTATGGTGGTGAATGAGAGAGATGAACATGACGGGTTATGGTAGGGTGGGGGCGGGTGTGTATGGTGGACATTTTTTATTTTTTATATTATCAAAATTTGTAAGTGAGTAAAAGCAAATAGAAAAAGAAATTGGAAAAGACAATATACTCTATTTATATGGATCAAGGACCAAAACTGCAAGATTAGAAAACCACAATGATGCATCTTGTCTATTTTCCAAAGATTGGACCAAAAGTGTGAATTTACCTAAACCACAATGACCAAAACTATAATTTACTCGGAATACATATTTAAAGATAGAGATTACAATATGTTTCAAAGTTTGTAGGGAGGAGGTTATAAATAAAATACTATATAATGTTTTCACAACAAAAACAGACTTCACAAAAAAACCTAATGAAAATGTACATGTAGAGATTTCTAAAAAAGTATTTTACTATGGAATTGTATTTTCCAACATGAATTATTGTGAGCATAATTACCTTAAATGATAAAAATACTAAGTTAAAATTTATGAAAATATACTTTTTAATGGAGATATTTCACATGTATCATTGCGAAATATATATATATATTTTTTTTCATAAAAATTGTAATTTCTCCTATTTTAATCGTATTTAATCAAATATTAAACAAAAATCCGCAAAAATAAACAGAATATTGATCCAACGAGACTGTGCCACGTCATCCACAATCTTGGAAGGATTATAAGGTAATAAACCAGTTGTCTATCTGATCGGTATTTTACTTGGCCACAAAATGAGAGACCAGTAGTCATCAAGCTCCGCCGCAGAGAAACTCATCACCACTCAGCACTCAGCCATGTCTTGCAGAAGCTTGAATCTGCTACTAAACCCATTCTCTAGCCGGAGCTCCCGCACCATAACCCTAGTCTCCTCCTACAAGGCACAATGCCCTAAAGTCGCGCCTCCATCGATTCGTTCTGATGGCCAGAGCCGGAGACATCTATTGTTTCTTATGACGGCAACAACGGCAATTACGGCAATGGAGATGCCGTCGATGGCGGAGGACATAGGGCTATTTGGATTGAGGAAGAAGCTGAAGAAGGCAGAGGAAGAAGCGGTGGAGATCGTGAAGGAAGGAATTGAGTCAGCTGAGAAAGGAGTCGAAGCCGCGGAGAGACAGATCGAGGCGGCGGAGATGGAGATTGAGACGGAGGTCCGTTTCGGAGGTGGTTTGACGCAGGCGGGAGTGGTTGCTGGTGCGGAGGTTGTTGGGATTTTGATTGCTACTTCGGTGGTTAATGGGATATTAGGACCTGAAAGTTAATTTTGAAATTCTGATCGATTACTATCACAGATTCACAGGTAATCATTAATCAAACTTTGATTTCTGATTGTTGTTTGTTAATCAGTTGTTTGAATTGCATTGCATATCTGTTGATCGTGTTTGTTTCTTAAAGTAGTTTGGTGATGAATACATGATCAAATCATCAACAGCATTTGTTTTCATTTTTTCTTTTAAGGAATTTACGATTAGGTGAAGTTTTAGATTTCTATATTCAATGGTGGATATAATTTTTTGTGTGTGTGTGTTGTAACGTGTCATGTTTGTACACATACAGCCACACAGTTGACACAACCATATCGATACGAAAAATTCATATCCGAGTACAACCATTGAAAACTATGGAGTACCATTAGATATCGGAAGATCTACAATACTTTTTGAAAAAGAAAAGGAGTTATTTTATTCTTTTATTTTAATAAATTATAAATAAAAAGCTATTGAGAGGATACTGGATACATAAATAACTTTTGTGAAAACACCTTATGATAATTGAGGCATTTTAAGGTTTTTGGTTTGTTGATGTGGTGATGATCTCATATCAAAAAACTTATTGAAAAAGTCTCTTAAGGTTGATGCTCTAAGATAAAAAAAAAATGGTGAATTGTATTATATGAACGTTCCACATCAACCCATCGTAAGGCTCACATGAGAAGTAAGGCTCCCATGAGAACTTAATCGTGAAACATTAATAATATTTTCTTTGTATACATATCAAACGAAGTTTAAACTTCACATAGAAAGAATAAAACCTCTATAATCTCATCAAAGGTCACAATTAGCACAAAATTTACCTATTTCAGATTTTGTGACATGTATTCTAAAATGGGCAAATGTCCATGTGCACTCACCTTAGTAGGTACATCCAAATTCAGATCTAACCAATTGTAATTCTATCGACATAAAACTTTATATATTTATGACATCGAGCAATGTTTACAACTAAAATATTACACAACACTTGCTTAAAAATTCTCTTTATATCCTTAATATATTTAATTCCGTCTTAAACGTCCAAGTTAATAATGTGTGCAACACTTGAGTATGGAAAAATAACATCATCAAGAAACAATTTATATTACAAGTTTAGTAGTCTAACCACCACAACATTATTCCACACATTATCAAAGGATATAGAAAGAACTTTGTTTTGTAATTAAAAAGTGGTTATAAGTAATATAAAGTTCTATATAAATTTTCTCCATACAAATAACCAAACAGTTCAAACGTAATCATATGTTTAATCACATGACACTTTTACAAATTTAGCCAATGAGCCGTAAAATAAAAATACAAATCCATTGAACCATGTAAAATCGTTCAAAGTTCAAACACTGCATGTTAAAGTTATTCTGAATCATCACATTTTTAACTGAATTCCAATATTTGTAAATGTAATGACATATCCGATGCCTATTTAAATTAACGAATAAGGGGCAAAATGGTCATGTTGACCATAAATACGGTCACAATACGGCAATATGGCATTTGACAAAAATATCTAGTAAAAAAGAAACTCTTTTCCAACCTTCTAAACATATTTAGATACTCAATGAGAACATGAAAGATGTGGTTATAACTTTTTCATTTGGGCCATATAAATTTATGAGCCCAAGCTTGTAGAGTTAGTCCAGTCAATGACTCAAATGCTTAATATCTATCTGAGTATCTGATAAGCAACTAGCAAGCGTCACACTTCACAGTTCACAGATTAGACGTTACTCAAAAATCCGCATTTCTCGGAGTACTGTAGTTTTCCGGTGACGTATTTTAAAATTCCGGTCACTACATAAGAACTGAATGGCTCGAGTTTCTTCAAATCCCGTCGGACTCCATAAATTCCGGCCGTCTTGTATTCATCCCGCCATAAAATCTCTTCGTTTCGTAAATCCCTCCGTTCATTCTCGCAATAGAAAGCTCAGATTCCAGCGGTTGTACTGCCAAACTGAACCTAATCCGACCGATTCCAACTCCGAGGTCCTCTCTCTCTCTCTCTCGATTATGAATTCGTTTCCGAAAGTGCAAATCAGATATTGTTTCTAAAAATTACAGGAAAAACTGCGACCTATGGTTTTTGGTTTTACACACTTGTATCAATCATGAATTTGACTGTTTTGACATCGAAATTTAACTGTGATTGTTGAAGAACGTCAAATGATTTTAATTTTTTAAACTTCATTGACATTTTGGAAGCAGATTGAACTACAAACAGGAGCTGATAGTTTAGGTGAATTGGTGTGCAAAACACTTTAAAGATCATGTATAGAAGTCGCTTCAGTTAGTTAGCACACACAGTATTGGGGATAAACCCTAATTAACTAATTGAAACAGAATTCAGATACATTTTCTTAACGATTTGTAAATCTGAATGCAGAAAAACTCGATTGTTGAATCTGATTCTGATAAAGATGATAAGATTACCGAAGTTACAAGTTCTCCAAGTGATGGTGGATTACCTGCTCTCCCAAACAAAAGCCTCAATCGGAGAGTTGCAATAGCTTCTGTTCTTGGAGCAGTAGGTCTGTTTGCATCAGGTAGACTTGATTTTGGTGTTTCTTTGAAAGATCTTTCTGCTGCATCCTTACCTTATGAAGAGGTTACACTTTCCACCATTTTCAATATCAAGTTTTTTAATTCTAGACATTGATTTACAATTTGTTTGCTTATTCATAGGCTCTTTCAAATGGGAAGCCAACTGTTGTGGAGTTTTATGCAGATTGGTGTGAGGTTTGTCGTGAATTAGCTCCAGATGTTTACAAAGTTGAGCAACAATACAAGTAAATCTCTTTCAATTATTAATTTCCTTTATAGAAAGTAAGAAATATTTAACTTATAATCTCAAAAACCTTTTTTAATCTGTAGAGACAGAGTAAATTTCGTTATGCTAAATGTTGACAATACAAAATGGGAACAAGAACTAGATGAATTTGGTGTTGAGGGTATTCCACATTTTGCATTTTTGGATAAAAATGGTAATGAAGAAGGGAATGTAGTGGGAAAGCTGCCCAAAAAATACTTCATGGAAAACATTGATGCACTTGCTACTGGAAAACCATCAATCCCACATGCCCGAGTTGTTGGTCAGTTTTCAAGTGCTGAAGCTAGAAAAGTCCACCAAGTATCCGACCCGAGAAGTCACGGATAAATAATTCAAAATATATATATGTAACAAATCAATAATTAATTCTTGTATCAAAATCACAAAAAAACACAATTAAATCAATGATTCATTTTTATATGTCACCTAGCAATATTTCGTAACAAGAGGCTACCAATTAACGCCACTCCGTCCACCTTTTTTATGATATTGACGCCTATCGATTTCTCACTAGCGTTATACATTGATGAAGAAGCCGATAATAATGATCCAATTGTGATACTATCATTAATTGTGTTCCACCCACTAACCCTAATCTCTTCCAACTCATCTGCCACTTCCATCATCGAATGTCTCATATCTCTATGAAATGCTAAACATCGGAAAGCCAATTCCGCCACTTTGTGAATTGACGAAAGTGTCCACACGCCTTTATTCGGGTCCAAAATTGGGTCAATTATATCATCCACACACCCTTTCCTAATTCTATCTATAGCAAGAGCCGCTAAAGAGTTTGTGTCTTGTAGGTGGAGTTTCTTCACTGCCACCCATTCGTTGGTGGTTTATTTTCCGGCTTACACCGTACCATGTACCATATACTCCGACATCTAGTCGTTGTTTGTCGGAAAAGAGTTTGTGGCTCGTTCGATTTCTTTGTACAGGTAGAATGGGACACCAAAGCTAGTGGTGGTTTCAGAGAACTGGCATCTTGCGCTCCTGAGGTTTTTAGAGGCGACTCGTTTTCTAAGGCAGTAGTAGCAGACGAGTGTGCTTGCTTTAGTCTGTCACACATTTTATCGAACATTTGGTGTCCTTTCATTAGTTAGACATTTTACCACACACTTGGTGTGTTTTCTGTAGTCTGTCACACGGTTTATCAAATACTTGGTGTCTCATTAGTCGGACATTTTACCAAACACTTAATGTGCATTTCTTTCTCAGGGATTATCGTCGAAGCTTCAGTGTCACGGAAGTGTTTTGGTAAATTGTCTAACTAATTAAAGGACATCTAAGGTGTGTTTGGCAAAACTAGTTAGTAGATGGTAGCTGGAATTTGTAACTTTCATTTGTATATGTGTGTTTGGGAAAAGTAGCGGAAAGTTTTCAAAATATGTAAAATTGCATAAAATAATTTATCTAAAACACATTTTTTAAAAAGGGTATTTAAGTCGATTTGTAAAATTATAAAAGAGTTCTTTGTTAAACACTACTTGAAGTAGATTTTGGATTTGAAACTTTTTGTTTTAGTTAAAAGCTAGAAGCTCCTACTAACGAACGAACCCGTTTTTTCGACATTTTCTTAAAAGCTAAAAGCTAAGATCTCTCAAAAGGTGCATGCCTTACATGCCCCAAGTGTTTAAAATGTGTGTCTGGCTAAAGAAAACACACCAAATGTTTTATAAAATGTATGGTTGTGATGGTTTGGTGTTTAAAGGTGTAATATTGAAAAAAAAAAAAAAAAAAACAAAAAAAAAAAAAAAAAACAAAAACAAAAACAAAAAAGAACAAACAGTTTCTATCCATGAATCAAATGAAGGATATGTGTAGTTGCAAACTTCACTACATTAGCTAGGGGGAATTCTACGTTGAAGCGCCATACTTCGAGAGTGTTGCAAGCAGTATTGTAAAAATCTCAACTATGCTCTTAAACGTTATACTAACAACTTAAAAATATGTTTTTTTTTAATTTTGAAAGCTCAAAATCACTGTTTTATATATATATATATATATATATATATATATATATATATATATATATATATATATATATATATATATAAAGGAACCTCTTTTTTCTTAAAAAATAATCTCTCGTATGACCATCCACATTCGTGAAAGACCAATAGTCTTTCAATTGGCCTTTACATTGTGTTCATTCAGACAAATACGTACTCTCATGTGAATGATGACAGATAAAAAGTGGCCTTTACAAAGTGGCCATCTTGTTCGTTTCTTTTTAGTGCAATTAGTTTGTTTCGATTCCGCAAATGCATAACAATATGCAAGAGGTCTAAAATTGCATACAAGGGTATATGAATGTATGAATGTGCCTTTAAGTTAGAACTTGAACCACAAATCTTATTATGTCAACCACCACGCAAAAAAAACACTAATGACGACTAGCTATAGCAATACAAATATTGAACCACAGTTTGTGGAGAAAATAAAAGTAACGACTTGTCCATTCTTTGCTTGCAACCAAAGGAGCGACCACAACCCAAAAACCAATTATAAATCCAAGCACTATGCTGATGATAAATCCCCACTCCTGTCCATCTGATTCATCTGAAATTGCATTGATGTAATTATTTATTGCATGGAATAATTTGGCATTATTGAAAGACTATTGGTCTTCCACAGGGGCGGAGTCAGAAATTTTGAATGGAGGGGCTTATATATATATATATATATATATATATATATAATATATATATATATATATATATATATATAAACAAAGCATCAAATGTGTTTTTCCTTTACCTAAAAATAAAAATAAGCAAGAATCATAGGAAACTAACACATGAAGTTATTAACATGAAAAAAATCGATAACTTACAGTAAATTTATGAGATAAATATGTCCAATTAAAAAAGTTAAGAAGGGGTAATGATAGGTACTGATTGGTTCGGTTGCCTTATCTTTACTCATTTATCAAGTCAAAACTCAATTACTCTGTTACTCTATCTCCTAGTTATGCATAGGTAAAGAAACCTTGAATAGAAAAATACGTGATAGAGACATACAATACAACGAATCCACATCATTGAGCGAGAGCTGAGAGGGAAAGTCATAGAGGCGACCAGCGACCAATTTTAGTTGACATTATGTTTGATAAGTGGAGACACAGAGTTATAACAGCCATTAATGCACTTTAACGAAGGTCAATAGGTGGAGAAGAATGTGAGATCGGAGACGGGAGGGGCAGAGAGCTTGAAGAAGCACACAATATCTGTGAATGTGGTTTAAATTATTTTTTCAAAGATTTTAAACTTCTTTTTATTTGAGGAATACGGATTGGGTGTTTTTTTTTTAAATTTTGAAAGTATATTAAAACTTTCCAAAAATTTGGAAGTTTGTTAGAACTTCCGATTTGCATTCTTATCTCTCTCAAATCATTTTCTTTTTTAAAATATATAGATATTTGTAATTAAAAATAGAGTTAAGGATACAGAGGATATTTATGTCAACATATGTGTTTAGTTTGAAAGAATTATAAATTATTTAACAGTCAAAGAATATGCAATGCTTGGTTTGAATAACATACATATGTAAGAATATTTTACAGTTAAACAAGTTGGGGGGGGGGGGGGGAGGGGCAAGCAGGTGCATGCCCCCTACTAGCTCCGTACTGGTCTTCCACCAATGTGGATGATCTTCCACGTTAAGGATTTGCATGGTGAGATCATCCATATTAATGAAAAGACCAATAGTTTTTAATTGTACCAAATCATTACTTGCAAAAAACAATTGAAAATCATTATTTGCAATAAACAATTACATCATATCAATACAATTTCAACATTATTTTAAATATGGTCCTATTGACACATCAATAATTACCTTATGTATATTAATATAATATGTTTCATATTGTGGATCAAACAAATTATAGTAGGAAAATTAGGGATGGCAACTCTCGACCTAACCCGTAACCCGACACTCACCCAACCCGAAAATAGAAGGGTTTGGGTTTACATTTTTGACCCGCCAACCCACCAACCCGTTTATTTCATGGGTTGGGTTGGGTTATCTGTTTGGGTTCGCGGGTCAACCCGCCAACCCGTATATATATATATATATATATATATATATATATATATATATATATATATATATATATATATATATATATATATAATGATATATTTAATTATTAATGAAATTTGATTTCCATCCGTATTCGTAATATTTCGTATCATTGTATTTCTTCCGTATTCGTATGTGACTAATCTGCGTTTGCGGTTTGTTAATCAAAAAAGAAAAAATACATGTCGTTATGTTTAGATACTCACAAGTCACTAATGTAGAATACATCCACTTTCTATGAATGTTTTCATATTTCATTTTTATTTGGATGTTATTGACTTTATGAATTATTGTTGAAAACCTTTTTTTATGTTAATTACTTTAATAATTTTATGAATTTATGTTGAGAAAACCTCATTTCTTAAAATACGTTGCTTATTTATTAAACGGGTTATATGGGTTGGGTTTGACCCATTAACTTGTGAACTCGCGAACCCATATACTTAAACAGGTTAAATGGGTTGGGTTGGGTTGAGATTTCCAACCCACCAACCCATGACCCGCCAACCCGTAAACCCATCTATTATATGGGTTGGGTTGAGTTTATGTTTTCTGACCCGCCAACCCACTAACCCGTAACTCGCCAACCCGAACCCAACCCAATTGTCAGGCCTAAGGAAAATTAATTATTGACGGCTGTTTATTTCAAAAGATGGTCCTACTATAAGGCCGGACGATATGGGGAGCGGGGAGGGCCGCGGGAAGCGTCCTGCAAGGAGGAACACCGCACCGGCGGTGCGGGAAAGGTGGAGCGGGGAGGAGGGTGGGGGTGGGGTTGTCGCGTTCTCACTCCTCATCCGATAGGCTAATTATTACTATTATTATTTTTGTTCCAACGGCTACATAACGTTAATATATATATATATATATATATATATATATATATATATATATATATATATATATATATATATATATATATATATATATATATATTCCTATTATCACACTATAAATACCACAACATATAACCATTTTTGTAACCCATACCTTCTTACTCTCTCCAAAAAATATTAATCAAAATGTCATCATCTTCATCATCCGATTCGACGGCTCTAGAGGAGGCTAAGTTTATCGGTTCCGTCATGGCGAAAACGGTTGCATACTTTCAAAACCGACTAGGCGAAACATCACATGCACGATCTAAACCAATAAAGTCGTGGTTGCGTAGAAATCGCGAAGCCGGACACGATCGTCTTATAGAAGATTACTTTGCAGATGACGACATCTACACTGTAAAGTTTCGACGTCGGTTCCGGATGAGGAATGAACTATTCTTACGTATTGTTGGCGATTTGGAAGACCGTTTTCCATATTTCCAATGGAAAATAGATGC